TTTCTCAACCTAACGAGAAATATCGTTCAGTTACTGTAGATTTAAAATTCCTATGGAGGTTATAAATTTTTTAGTATTTTCTCATTTTTAAGTTGATTATTTTTTAATAAAAAAATAATAAATAATAGGAAGGAAACGTTCTAAAAGTTTAAAAGGACAAACTTTAATTAAAATAAATAATTTATTGCATATTTAGTACAGAATTGCAACAAAATATTGAACTTATTTATTTATTTATTGAAATTCTCTTGAATAATGTTAGCCAAAAACAACATAAGTTAGAAGATAGATTTAACAGTGTTCTACTTTATCCTGTACACATGTTAGGGAACATGGTCTATTAATGGCTTGAGAGAAAAAAAGTAGTCTAGTTTATTATGAGTGGATATATATAATTTAGTTACATTGACCTCACGTGATTATGGTTTGTTACATAATTAATAGTTAAACTCAATAAATGCGGGATGATGAAATAAAACATTATAGAAAAAGTAAACTTAAAAAGTCTTTTACAAGAGTATTATGCATGTTAATTTAAGTTATCGTATCTTGATCGTATATTTAAAAAGAAATGGTCAAAAATTTTCTGCGTTTTCATTAATGATGGTAGTCAATTTAAAACCAATTTGGGGTGATAAAGTCTCTAATCTGTGTATCTTCCTTTATGACCAAAGGTTTGTATTCTTTTTGAAGCAATAAAAAATATGGTTTATTGAATTTAAGCATCTTTGTTAAATAAAAGAAATACAATACCGAAGGTCTAATTTGTTTGAATGGGATAAGATTACTTAGATTACAAGTACATTGGATGTTTGTTGGTAGCCATAACTTATGGAAACTCTATACGATAGGATGCTTCAACATACATTACGTCGAACATAATATCTATCTATGTTTTTTTTTCTTTCAAAAGTCAGAGTCAGATAGTTTTCCAAATATGTTATAAGAGTTCTTCTGTAACTCGTCTTTTCGTTGAATGAAAAACTAAATTAATTAAATTAACACGGATAAAATTTAAATTATTAAAATTAAATTAAATATTAAAATAATTAAATCAATTATATGTTAATATTTAAAAATTACATATTATGTTAAATTTGATATAAAATGTAGACTTAATTAAGTTTTAAGTTTTTAGTATTTTCAATTTAAATATCTATTAATTTTTTTCTGACCAATTACTCAAAAAATTTATGTTTTTTAATTGAATTTATATAATTTAATTTTTTAGTTAATTGAGTGATGTATTGCATAATATTACTTATTTGTCTCATAAGAAATGTGTCACATTACTTATCATGTTAATATAAAATGACAAATATTTCTTAACATAAATATTAATTATAACATAGTACATCCTTTATCATGTTTTAGATTAACCATAACATAACACATTTATTAACACGTGGACAAATAAATCAAATGATAAATAAAACTAACAGTTACGTTATTCAATTACGAAAAATTATATTACAATGATTTAATTAAAAAATATAATTTTTTTTATGTAAACAATAAATCATAAATTTTTAATAAAGATTAAGTTGAAAATACCCAAATTTACAAGGAACGACAAACCTAACTAATATGTAAATAAATTTTCAATCTTAAAATTTTATTTATTAAAAAATATATTCATACTTATTTATAATTTTATTTAAGTACCTATAGGTAATACTTTTTTCATAATATCATTCGTCTAACTCAAAAGTCCTTTCTTAAAGTTGACGGAGAAAATGATTTATTATATTTTAAAAAGACTGAAAAACTAAATCTATATAACATATTATTTCTTTAAAACGTTTACTAATATTTATATTTTATTGTGATGCATTCTATTGATCGAAAATAGTAATGATGCAATATACTAGTTGCATACAAATTAAATGATTTATAGTATAAATAAATTAAAATACACACACATTATGTTAATTAAATAACAAAAAATGTGTCACAAATTTATTTCTAAATCAAGTTTAATATTTTTCAACTCAAATAAGAAATATTGTCTAACAACATTAATTTGAATTTTGTACATTATATTTTTCAACGTTACATTCGCAAATTAAGTTTTCAATTGTATGTTTGGTATTTATTTTACTTAAAGTACCATGCCTTAATAGGATTTAGGTTTATAATAAGTGCAGATATAAATTAAAAAGTTTTGAATAATGGAAATTATTATTTAATAACAACAAAGTTAATGTAATTGAAACTTTTGATTAAGTTAATAAAGGTTTATAGTTTCATCTCATGAAGGTGTATTAACAACTTTTCTTTTAGTAGATATACAGTTTCATTATATGTATTTATTGATCTGGACTTAATCTAAAAACTCTTTGATTTAATCCTTGAGCAGTGTAACTGCCAGAAAAGGAATTTGAAGTTAATAATGGCAATTGCTTACACTTATAGGGAGGAGACAGTTAAAATGAAGAAGAAGAGGGTTTGAATATGACATGATAGGGAGTATAAGGTTGGAACAAAGTGTAGTAATAAGAGTGATGTGAATGTTGGTGTTAGGTGGAATATAGTAGTAGTTGCTGATCATACTTTGCTCTCAGCTTGTTTGGTGGATGTTGTTGCTGAGTTCGATTATCCTGTGGTTGTTGGTAGTTGGTAGTTGGTCAGCTGCTTCAGATTCATTTATGCTGTGTTGTTATACATACAAAGTTATTACAATACCTAGGCATGTCTAATTTAATTATTCAAAATAAATGTACAAGATGTCTTTTAATTAGATATTATTTTAGTCAATATCATACTTAGCTTTTCTTAAATTGCGTTTGAATAAAACTTAGATAAATATGATAGATAATATCTCCATATAATTTGAGTTTGAGTATAACTTAATCCTATAAAATCAAGTTATAAAATCAAGTTATAAAATCATGGCTTAAATGCTTACTCGATCCTCATATTAAGAGGTGAATTTCTGTTTAGTACTCGGTTTTAAAAATGAAGATATTGGGTTCCTATGTTATGAAAAGTGTATGAATAAGGTGTTGTCCGTTAAGTTGACAACAACAATGTTAAGTCCATGTTGATATGACTGTACTTTTTCTCTTCTCTCTTTTGCTGTCCAGCTTTTTCTCTCTTTTGTTCAGCTTTTTCTTTAATGATTTGTTGAACTTGTTCTTTCTTTGTAGACGTTATTCACAATAATTTTCATAACATAGGGACCCAATGTCTTCATTCTTAAAACCGGGTACTAAACAAAAATTCATCTCTTAACATGGAGACGAAGTAAGCATTTAAGCCTAAAATCATTTATAAAGCAAAAACTATCCTTTTATATACTATTTTTATATTCTATTGATACTTTAATGGGATTTGAATTTTTAATAATGACTTGAAATTTCAAAGTGAATTTTTTTTTGTGAAATAACTAAATAGTTTTGTAATTTTAGAGATGATAAATGTTGGATCGGCAACAATGATATCGATATTGTAAGGATATTTTATATGTAATTAAATAATTGTTGGTAAATAAATTTAAAAGCGATTATTTAGTTTACTGTATGCTTAATACCTCAGTTAATTAATCGTGTTTATGGATTTATTTGATAATTGTGAGTTAATTAATAATTTTATTTGGGAAGAATAACGTGTTAAAGGAACAGGGTGAGAATAGAATTTTGGGATATTATGGATGGTGAACTAGCATGAGTCTTTGATTTTGGAAATAAAAAGGGAGTGATAAACTTGGCAGATGAAGGGGGTGCATTTAGTAATTAGATGAAAAAAAAACTCCTTTATAATTACACCAAACCATATTCATCTTCATTTATTTATTTTTCACTTTTCTTTATTTTTCTTCATTCTCTCTAGTTTTACTCCATTCTTGTGATGATCTACGCGTGCAAGCTAGTAGGCTTCCTTTTTTTTTTCTTACTCCTTTTCAGAAGAGAATTATGCATATATTGTTTTTTTTATAAATGTATGAAAATTTTTAGAGTTTAGATTATTTTTGGGTTGGTTAATTGGATTAACATATATAATCAAGGGGTACATTTGGTTTTTCCAACTCATCTTTTCTTCCTAGTTGTAGTTTCTTTGGAGTAGAGGGAAGATTAAGGTAGGGAAAATGTTGATTTTATGTTATCTTGATAACTTTGCTTGCGAGAATGTTTGAACAATTAATTAATAAATTGGGTGTGAAACTTGTAATATCAAGAATTATATAACGTTTCTTTGTATAATCATAGTCATGCATTGTTATTTTGTTTTTATATTTGATAAATAGTGATAACTATTTGGTGATCATATTGATTTTACATTTTGAGAGTTAATTACAATATAAGGTTAAATGTTGAATTGTGATTTAATAAGTTGATATTTTCGAAGTTTTTTATATATGATGAAATATGTATATATATCGTTGAAGTAATAAATTGATCTGAAAAAAATATTATTTAAAACTCTTTTCTCAAATAAGGTCATTACTAAAAAAAATGAAAAATTACTAAAAAATATCACCTAGTCGATATTTTTTTTATATAACATGTTTAATTTTTATTTAAATAGTTTAAATGTTGTATAATCATAAGTATCTTTTCTGTTTTACATTTATAATAATTTATTTAACTTCAATTACTTATGTGGCTTAGTGAAATTTTTTTTATGTTTAAAAATAATATTTGGTTTTTTCGAACGAGACAAGACTTATTGATTTGATATATAAATACTTTACAAAGTAATTATAAATATGAATTGTGTGAGAGGAAGTTAGTGAGAGAGTTTTTCAGGTATAATATAATTATTGAATTATAAAATATATTTAAGAGGTATTTAAATTTTTTACTGATGATATAAAGTTAATGAAAGCTCTTGGAAGAGTTTAAAGTGAAGCATCACCTAAACTATATATAAATGATTATATGAGAAATTATCTTGAGATATGTTAAAACATGTGAAATATTTGTATCGGAATTCAATATAATTTTTCCATTTCGTTCCTAAAACAATTTAATTTAGAAAAAGAGTAAATTTAATGGGGGTTTTATTTTACGAAATTGATATGGATTATTGTTTTGATGGATTTGGTGTAACATCTATTGCATATGTTCTTAGGGAGAATCATGCATAGACAGGTATGGAGGAGGTCATTGATACACAGCCTTTGAGGCGTTCGACAATTACATTTCTGCTGAGTAGCCCTGAATGATGGCTCATTGGTACGCCTTCCTTCATACACTCATCGTACTTCTCCAACGTACACACAATGTCAGTGAAATCTGGCCGTTTCGACGGGTTTGCTGACCAACAACGCTTTATCAGATGTGCTAGTCCTGGTTCACAACTTGCTGGCAGAGGAGGCCTTTCATTCTGATCAAACACAAAATCACTTTTCAAATCAAAACTTTTCACTTCCCACAGGATCAACCCTTTTCACCATACATTCTTAACACTTCAAAAACTATTATAAGGAATTAACCAAGCACAAAATGCATTCTTTAGAATCATCACTCACCTTCTAATGTACTATGATTTTAGAGGTTGATTATTATTTGTTTTCCACAATTTTAGACTCAAATGGCTATTTATCTGTGCCTTTTTGTGGGGTCCAAGGGATGAGTGTGCCTCATGGGAAGGCACTAATGGAGACAACAATATTGCGGCTAGCCTTTTGTGCAAAGTTCGAGGACTACTTTTGACAAAATGTATACACCAAAATGTAACAACTGTTTTTGTGTTAGCCTCAAATTTTTTTATCAGGTTTAGCGATATCAAGGATGCGTGTTGGGACTAGGGAGGGAACATGTCCAAGGCCCATGCATCAGTGTTTCCCATTATTAGGACTAGAATGTTATACTTTTCATAAAAAAGCTCACTCTGTTAAAGCACTCTCTAGTTAAAATAATCCATGATCATTGCTGGCATTCTGTCAGGTATTAACCCGAGGCTTGACTATAGAAGCAACACGAACAAGCAGAGTCATTTGTTATTAGTGTACTTTAATTACTCTGACTAGTCACTACTGGTAAACTATCTATGTATGAAAATGAAAATTAGGGACACATTTTTTGTTATATGTAGTCTGTGGTATGTAGTTTGCTTTTTCTGAAGAAAGTGCTATGACTAAGTAAACCATGTGGTGACAACGAAATTATCTTGCATAAAACTATTAGAGGTTACAATATTTTTGTCTTCACCTCTTATTCTTTGAGGAACACTTACATCTTGTCAGACTGGCTAAGAGAAGAGAGAGTAGAAGGTTAGAATCTCTGAAATGCAGAATCCCTGAAACTCTGCATAAAGGTGTTTGTGGCACTTAAACTAAATTGAAAAGTGAAAGTATATATTGATTGACCCATCCCATTGAAGGAAAGGAAACACATTGCCATTTAGAACAGTGAATGAGTAAATAGTAAAAAAATGTTCACAAGTCATGAGCCGTGAGAATAGTGAATGCACTTATGGATAACAGCCACACGATAAGGATTCTCTGAGTAACTATGCCTTAGAGAAGATTTTCTACGAAGTAACTATTAGAAGGTAGATAAAAGTTTTAGAAATACTGTTGTTGTTGCATGTGGTATAAGGTTTTAAAAGATTGGATATTGGGAGAGATCAAAACCAAGCTTCCCGTTTGGGTATTTTAGATACTTGAGTGACATAGCTACGGTTGTTTCTACACTGTTACTAAAAGGGCAAAAGTCTCTAGTTAGTATGTTTGGAACTTTTTCTATAAAATTGAAGTGTGGTAGATATCAGATTTCTTCAGTCCCATTTAGGGAACAAACAGTGTGAAAGACAACTTCCTTCATGCTTTATAGCAATCAAACTGTTCCAAGGCAGAGATTCCCATATTATTGAGTATATTTCTTATCACAGAGAACTTGTCCAACCAATCATTCTTATTACAATAACTTGTCCAATCAATCATCTTGACAATGCAACAACTGTTTTCAGTTCTGAATTCTTCTTTTTATGTATAAAAAAAAAATCATTTCCAGACCAATTTTTATTCATTTCAGAATAAATTTTGGTTCAGAAACCAGTTCTAGAACAGATTTTAAATTAGAAATCCCTTTTAAACCAAATCATATTTTATTCATCAGTCGATTTAAAACAAGTTAAAGCTACTTTGATTAAACACGTTGAGAAAGATAAATGGTTTATTTCGAAGTCCAGCTCACATTTAGTTCTGTGAAACCAAACCATGGAGACCCGAAGAATCCAAAAATATGCCATTTGTCAAATTAGACAAGAATTATTCGTCCACCATTAGACACGACCAAGAAGTTGGAGTACAAAGAAGGAATTTGGTCAGACTAGAAAAAGTCAAGAAGGGATTAAGAGAAAGATTCTATCAATAAAGCTATCAGAATTGGTAAGCAGAGAAGTGATGCAATTGTCTCTCTAAGAGCAATTAAAACTGGTGTAGCAGGATGAGCTAAAACAAAAAGCAATTAACATAACACAGAAGATATTTAGAGTTTAGAAATGGAAAATGACACTTGAACAACCATTTTTGACAACATTTAGACACGAGAACACGTGTCTAAATGTTGTCAAAAATGGTTGTTCAAGTATCATTTTCCTTTAGAAATATAGCCATTACCTTCTCGGCCACAGCAAAAGCAGCTTGCACCGGGGTCATTACTTGGAAAGGAAGTAGAGAAGTAGTGAGCTCCCAAAGCACAATACCAAAACTGTAGACATCAACTTTTCGAGTATAAGGTTTTTCCTTAACCATCTCTGGTGCCATCCAACGATATGTTCCCGAGTTCCCTTTGCTTTTTCGGCATCTTGTTTCAAGACAAGATGTGCCAAAATCCGCCACCTTAACCCTCAAATCATCGTCGAGGAGCAAATTACTTGACTTCAAGTCTCTGTGAATAACACCTTGTGAATGAAGGTACTCCATGCCCCTTGATATATCTAGAGCCATCCTTAGTATTGTTTCTATCGAGAGTGAGTATGGCTCTTTCTTGTTCAGATACATCCTTAGATTCCCTTGTGACATGTATTCTGTTATGATACAGTACACCGGCGGTTTTTTACATGCTGCAATGAACTGTAAAATAAGAGTCATTTTATTATCGGAGTTTATGCAGTCGTTACTAGAAGGGATTACAAACACTTCTGCAGCTAAAGGTTACATTTACAGTATCAATCATCACATATGAATGAACGTTAAAATTTTCTTAGAATTTGGGTTTTAGAACCCCAATTTGCAAGTAGTTCAGAATAACTCAATAATTGATCAACCAATTGACTCAACAAAATTCAGAATTTAATGTAACTCAACTTTAATTAAAACTGTCTCTTTAGATTGCCCCAATATAAAAACTATTTGGTGGTTGTCGACATTCAAAAGTAGAGCCAAATCAAATAATCTAACTCACTAAATGCTAGGATTCTTCATGGTCTTTCCAAAACCCCATGGACTAGAAAGAAAGAAGATTAATCACTGCATTACTCATCTAAAAAAGGCAAAAACTAGAACAAAATAGAAAAGTCAATAGTTGGCAGCGATAGGTGTATTGTATATGCTACCGAGTTCAGCCAATATACTTATTAAATGGTCCCTGTTTCCCTTTTTGTGGTTTCTGAAACAGTTTTACCTAGAAAAGCTAAGACTTTCCGGAAGTGGCAAGTGACAGTGTCTCTTAGTGGGAACAACCAAAACTTATCTATTAGCTCCTCTCTTGCTTACACCCTCTGAGTTTCAGATCCTCACAGACAAAACGATCGTAATGGATACATAAACAAAAAAACTACCATGCAGACAAGAAGATTGAGTGTCGAAACAAGGTTGAAGAGATATCCGTTCATTAAAACAACGTACCTGCACAATGTTAAAATGGAAGAGACGTGAAAGCAAAGCCACTTCAGAGTTAAATTGCTCCTCTAGTAATTCTTTTTTCTCCTCATCCTGGGATGGCATCTTCACCATTTTCACAGCAACAGCTCTCTGCTTGTAGACTCCACGGTAAATTCGACTGTGAGCTCCAGAAGCAAACCTGTTACCAATAAAAAGCTGTGATAGGTCTGCAGTCCATTCCCCTTGCTCCCCCTCCTGGTCCTCCTTTGAAGCCTCCCATGTATCCATCGAGTCCAATATCATGGACCACGATTCCGTGCTATTAAATCTCTTCCTTTCCATGTTCTCCGTCTCACTCTCCAACCTTAACTTGGAGGAAGACGAAGGCTCTGGTAAAGGTTTACTCTTAGACATCCTTAGCCTAAGTCCGTGGAAACATGACCCCGCCATTGAACCTAGAAAACAAGTGTATTTTACAGCAATGATATGAAGAGTGTCAGAGCATACAGTCATGACAAATCTTCCTCCCGAGTGTTGAATTCCAAACACGAGCTCCAACGAAGAATGAAGAACGAGTATAAGTTTTTTAAAACCATTTTGATGAGCTTGCTGTATATAGCAACTGCACCTTTGATAATCAATCCACGTAAGCAGCAAGACCACGGTTTATTTGAGTATGAATATTAATACTTGGTGTGTAAGAATTGTGAAGGGTAGGAACTATCTCACAGCATTCAAGAGTCGAGTAGAAAAAAAGGAGGAAGTGGGGATTTCAATGGTTGCAGCCAAATGCTAGTGAGAGGAAGAAGAAAAAGAGAAGGTGTTTTCAGGGTTTTTCATAGTAAGATTAGGTTGTTTTGCAGCATGAGGAGGAATTGAGAGGAAGAAAAGTTTGAAGGGTGTCTGGTGAGTGGTTGGGTAAAAAGTGGAGTAGCTTGTTATAGAGAGCGAGAGATAGAGTTTTTGGAAGAATTTATAATTGAGGTTCGTTGGTGATGGGATTATGATGAATGAATGCAATGGTAAGTGGACACAATGCAGAGCGAGGTGACTTGAGCTTGGCGATTGGTACATCCAACTATTGGTGTTTGCCTTTGCAGTCTTCTCAGACTTTGGATATATCCCCATCCTTGTTGGGGCCATGAAAAGTTTGAGAGTACAAGTGGCATCTACCATAACAAAAGAAGAAACAATAGACAAGTGCCAACTGCAAGAGATAGACCTCTCTCGGTTTATACCAAACATGTGACTGATTTCTACGTATTACTGTTTTTCCTTCAGCTGTCAAAAACATTGCCTCATTCCAATACATATATGCTATGCCACTCTCTGACTCCTAAGTGCGTCTTTGTGTTGGGTTGCTGCTACCAATGAAATTCAAGTTCATCACAACACAACCAATAAAAATCAAGCAAGGTTCAACCCAAAAAAGGCATTTAAGTTGGTGATGGAAAAATATTTTTAGGTTCATATACAATATCTGCACAGATTGTGTTTATTCAACTGTTTATTACAAGATACGTATACGATTCTATTTATTAATAATAATTTAAAGATGATCCAATCCAATGTATGTTTTGTAATTTATTACATTTGATGACTACCGATTTGACCATAAGTAAACTCGGATGGAAGAAACTGAGATGATTAATTGAAAGATGTAGGGAGAAAAATGCATATCTAAATGTTTATAAAATTAGATTGTGAAAAAAGAAAGAAATGGTCTGAGGGAGAAATTAAAAGGTAGAAAGAAAAGTTAAGGAGACATAAGAGTTTCGTCCCAAAACTATCTAAGCCATTCAATATTCGGTTCCAGGTCACATGATATGGACCGCAAATTGTTAGGTATCCGCCGTAGTGTGGTTTTTGTGGCATGGGCTTATCACAAGGAACATGTAGGGGATCTAGCTCAGGGCCCAAAAAACAAATTTCGACATTCCGTATCAAGTACTATCATAATTTTTCTCTCTTTTTTTTTTCTCATTCATCTATATTACCATTCTCTTCTTTTGCCATTTAGTATACCCTCTCCCCTTAATTAGAAAAATGAAAAATAATAGGTTTACATTTAAGATATAGGTGAAATAAAAATATAAAATGTGATAAACAAACATTTCAATAAAAAAACGATATAAACATAAAATATTAATGCATAAACTGTCGAACGAGTTGCCCCAGTCATGCACTCTTATGTGCATTGTAGGAAGATCTTGCTGTTTCACTTTTTTTTAAATATGTTTTTAATTTCTAGAGTTTGATGTAAAATTCTAATTCTTTTTGCGTTAAATTTTAATATATTTGATGAATGAATGGATATGTTAATCCAACAATTTATTATAAATCAATATTTGAGTTGAAACATGTTAATAATATAAACAGTTTAAAGTTTGAAATGTTGTTTATAGGTAAAAGAAAATAATTTGAGTTAAGTTAAGAGGATTACACATATTTATTTTTAAAGTTTGAAGCAAAAATAATTATTAATTCTATTTCTAATAACTTAAAACATATTTAACCTTTTTTTCTTGTATCGTGGAGTCATGCGTAACCACTGGGATTGCACTTGAAAAAGTATTGTATATAATAAAGATACGGAAAAATAAAAGAGAATATGTTAAAATAATTGAGGATTACGTTTAGAGGAAGAAAAAAAAAATCTTGAAAGGGTGGTAGGGAGGAATCGATGTTTATTTTTTTTCATTGTGAAGTCAGAAGAAAGTAAACAAGTGATGTGAAAAATTTACCATCTTAGGTGTGGACGAAATAGTGATAAAAAATTATATGCAACAGAGGAAGAAATAAGATCTGAGAAAGGTGAAGAATATTATATTGAAAAGGCGAACAATAATAATAAAGAGTGGTGAAAACATGGATACTCAATAGTAGTTTTCAAGAACACGTCATGGTAGGTACTAGTGAGAGGTTATGACTCTGGGTGCGTATAGTTTAGAGAGTTGTCCACAACAACACGTGTCTAAAGTTCGACGTAAATGGTGTTATTGCAGACATCCTGGCGCTAAGTCGAATGCACTGTCCTCACGTTGTAAGAGAAGGCACCTTGTTCACTGTCTTTCTTTGGCGAAATTGTGATGAGACTTTGCATGTATGCAATGACCATGTTGGGTCTTCATCACCTGCTGCTCAGGTACCGTGTTCCTCCGCCAGGGGTGCTTACCCTTTTATTTTCGTTGCTTTTCTTTTCCGTGTAACCACAAAAGGAGACACCTCAGTTATTGTTTTTGAAATGAATTCCCATGCGAAGCTAGTTAGGTGCATTGTACTGTTTCGAAGAGGGTTTCATATGAGGACAAAACTCTATACAATTTATTTCTTTTGGTTTTGTTTTCTGATTAAAGTTGGAGGTGGGTCCGAGCTTGGACGCTTCATCTCCAACTGGTGTAAGGTTCTAGATCGTTCCTTCATCGACTGGTCATGGAGTAGAGTGGGGAAGTTCACTCTGTCATAATGCCCTCATCTACCGCTAACAACCATATACACTCAGATCTTCTGTTGCTCCTTTGTCCCTCCTTTCCCTATAAAACATAAATTATACACCTCAAACGTTAAATCTTTACATCATCACAGTACTGTAATTCAAGGTTTAACGTTAAATATTATAAGATCTTCTTCTCAATTTCTAAGTGTGAGGTAGATATCTACTTCCATTTATATTGGTGCAGAAATATCACTAACTCCATACATAGAATGCATGGTGTGTGAGAGAATTAGATCTGTAAACGAGATGAGATTATTGAGATTGTATTATGTTTCTCGAGTGATGACGCATCTTTTAATATATAAAGAGATTTTTAGGGAAAAATAGTACACACAAAGTAGAGAACGATCTTAAACCTTGTTCAGTATTATTTATAGTTAAAATAAATCTTATTGTAAATTACTTAAGTTCTGCATTAATTGTGTTTTTAGTTAAAATAAATTGTATTATAATTTAGTTAGTATGTTGTAATTAATTTATGTATATAATCTCTAACTAATGTTATAATATTATGTCGATGAATAATAATATTCAAAATAGTATTATTATTATGTATATTTCTTTTTGTTGTATTTGAATATGATATTTTGTGAGTTTTAAATATTAGAATTTATCTTAGAAAAATTTAAATAGAGTGGATTAAAGATTTTACATCAACTGAAAATAAAATCAAACGAAGATCATTTTTATCTTATAAATAAGTTGTGTTGGAATAAATTAAATTTGAAACCTCTTTCTCGTATAAACTATGAAAATTTGATCAATATTATTTTGATTTCCATTTTCACTACAATCGTTCCAAATATTTGTGAACAATTTTAATAATTAGAAGCAAATTTGGTCTGTAGTTGTATTTATTTATTTATTTATGTATCTAAAAGTATTTTTCTTAACTTTTGATTTCTATGAAAAAAAATGTTGGGATTGCAAGTGAGTTCAAGTCTCATATTGGATAGAAATGAGAAAGTAATACACTATATAAAAGTAAAATACCTATTAATACATTATATTAAGGTTTTGAATAAAGAGTGATGTCGATCTCTTATTGGTTAGACTCATATGTCATTCGTATTGTGTCTTTCCTATGATTCATATTGGTGACCGGCTTAAAGAAGTGCTTTTAGTTACTCTTAAATATTATTTTAAGATATTAACTAATTAATAATTTAAAAAATACAACAATACATAGATATATTATAAGGACTAGAGTAAAATAACAAACATTGACAAAAGATAAGAAGACCAAAAGTCAAGCAAAATATGTTTATTAAGAAAAAGTAAAATACAGCTATATTTTAAGAAATAAAAACAAATTTATCTTTAAAAATCATAATTATTTTAATATTTAATTAATTTAAATTACAATAATTAAATAATAAGTTAACTAATATTTTAAATTCTTGTAACTTATTAATTCTTACGTATTACATAAATTAAAAAATAATTGATAAATTAACTTAGGATATATTTAAAAATATATAATCAAATTAAAAAATTTGAAATGTGAAATGACTTTTTCATAAGTTTTCCATATTCAATAACTTTACCTGAATTGAACGAAATTTCATTTTCATATGTGGTAGTCATAAACCTAATCTTGAACTGACAATGAGATAGTTTGGATTGTTTTGAGAACATATCCAGTGACTCTTTTTTTAAAAAGTCACGTATCTTTAATTAATTTTACTTAAATTTTTTATTAGTTTCTTTTATATATTTTTTAAAATTAAAGTTAGTCATTTAACATACATAAAAATTGACTAAAGTTATAGTCATTTTTTCTTAAAAAGAATTATTAAATCGATATCTGATTGTTTTATTGCTTTTTATATTTTTCATCTAAATAATTTATAACAAAATTAAAAAAGTCAATTAAATAAATAATAAATAAAAATCTAAGAATTAAATCATATTCTTAGTTAATATCTAAATTTAAGTTTGTTATAAATCATTGTGATGATTTTAAATTGTTACCATAACCTATAGTTAATTTATACTGTTTGGAAAAATATTATTTAATTTTAAATATTACAAAAACATAATAGTAAATTCATATATATATATATATATATATATATATATATATATATATATGGGGTTTGCTAACGCGCGTACGCCTGTTTTTCAGTTGGTACATTTTAGCAATGTGTACCGGGTTTTAGTAGACAAAAATATCCTTATATANCGCCACAAGGATTCTCCCCCTGAGCCATTAGCACCACTGTAAGCACCGTTTGCGAAATTGTGCCTCTTTACGGGTCAGACCCAGCGCAGAGAACGCCCCCAGATCAAGTCCATCCATCAGCCACCGTCACGCCACCGGACACCGTTGTCACAGGGGGATTATTAATTCATCCCCACCGCCTCCCAAACACGGTCACGCTGATCCTACGACAGTGGTGGAGACCACCGAACTCCTATCCACGATGCGTCTCAAACAAGAACAACCCACACCAGCACCTTCATTAGCGCCACTCTTCAGATCCCAAAACGCGCAATCTAAACCAACCCCAATTCGAAAACTTCACAACCTCTACTCGCAAAAACAAAACGATCAAAACCACAATTCCAACCAATGAAAATCCAGTTACACCAGGAATCCCTAA